CGCCATTTTTTCCCGAGTTGCTCGGAGGTAAATAGCAAAGGATATTCGGAGTTTGACTAGCCAATCAGAGCGCGCCTTCAACGCTATCCACTGTTTTAGTATATACTAAATATCACTATCGCAAGGATTTCTGGGCATTTGCAAACCACAAATGAGATTTTTTGACTCGATTCCCCCTGCGCTTGAACTGAGGTAGAAAAAAGTCTCAAATCCCCTTAGCGATTTAATAAAGAGGCCGAAAAGACTGAAAGGACAACAGCTGTCCAAGAAATAATGAAAAAGGAAATCCTTGTATCTACCCTTGTATCCACACTTGTGTATGTGTGTTTCTCTGTATAGTGTCGGTAAAATCTGAGTTTAGGGCGAGAATCTAGAGAGCTTTAGGAACAGATGCTGACATAAATATTGCTAAATAATTCATTCGATTAAATAATTTGGATATATCAACAAAGTTGAAATGGTAAATTGGCCACCGACGCAGCCTCAAACAGTTTCTTTCGAAACTATCAGCCTTAATTCATTCGATTAGTTTTTCAGGCCTCAAAAATTCATACCCGGGTGGTTATCAATTTACAAGACGAGGAGTGAAACTATGAAAAACCGTCTTTCAGTGGTTTCTCACCTGAATGTCACTAACAGCGGCTTTTTTTCCTGAAGTATCCGTCAACCCGACCGAAACTGACTTCTCCTGGCACCAACTGAAGTTACCCATTCCTTGTAGTCCCACAGGTCCCCCCGGTCCTTCTGCTCCAGGAGGCCCATCGTCTCCAGTGGGCCCTACGGGTCCTTTATCACCTTGAGGTCCTTTAGTACCGTCAGTCCCTGGGAAGCCATTTACCCCAGGGTTTCCTTTATCCCCTGGGGGACCTGAAGACCCCGGGTCTCCTGGAGGTCCTGTTGGACCTGTTTGTCCCGGATCTCCTTCTGGTCCAATCGAACCATTCCTACCTCTTTCGCCGACTGGACCAGGAAGGGAGATTTTTGCCTTCACCTTTTTAGAAAAGCGAAAAAAAGAAATGAATCAGAGAAAGTTAAAAATAAAAGATATAATACTACTCGTGCACTAATATAAATGGTCTTAGAAATGTCCTCGCGAGTCAAATCAAGCTAGCTTTAAACAGCATAAACTCTATTTGTCTAGGAAGATCTCCTCAAATGGAAGCAAGCTGAGGTAACCTCATCCAAAGCGATCGACATAGAAACAAGCTTGATTGAAAACGATATAAATCCAATCGCTTGTTGCTAGGAATCAACCTGTTCCCATTAAATTCGATTTTTTGGGTACTGTTCTTGTGGTGACAGTAACCACGAATGACGACGAGATGGTCTGGAACTGAGTGTAGCGATACTTTTTATTTGAACACTGTGGTTTGGTAAAAAAAAGGCTGCATGGGGTATTTGTTTTGATGGGATCGTTCCCGACTTCCAAGAAAGTACCGAAATAACATTGGCCATGTTCCAATTTTTGCGTCTAACTCAAAGTGCTCGCCAAAATATTCGTTTACTTAATGAGAAAAACACACCATTAAAAGGGAAATGGTGAGCCAAGGGGGAACAATGATCGCTGAGCATAGTGGAGGTCAAGGCGAATTGGAAAAGAAAAACTTGGAAAAATAACGTTAAACTCTTCAAGCGGAGCTGACAATTCGGTACCTCTAAGAGTGATTTTCGATTGAGCGTCGTAAATCCAAAACCATACTTATCCCAAAGGTTAATCAGAAGAAAGGAAAATAACTTTTATAGCGGATAAGAACTCAAAGGAAAAACAATCAAACTGCCTAGTTAAAGCGCGGGAAAACGCGGCGACCAAGTCGTGATTGGCTTAAATTCTAATCTAGTTTGTGAAGGAAGAAGGGTGTGAGTTTTCTTACCCAATCACGGAGCAAAATAAAGCAAAACCAAGGCAATCGCAGATCACCAAGGAAAATGAATTGAAAATTTCTCTAAACACAACCCTGATAAATAGTATCAGAGACAATGGCGCTGGAATAATTCCTATACGGGTACACTACTCCACACAATTTCCAGCCATGGTAAAACCACCCAACAACAATATACACACGAAGGATCAAAGACATTTTTTCTTGCTATTTTTTGTCACTGACTAAGGAGCATCTTCTTTCACAATTGCTATATAATTAAAAAAAAAAAAATAATAAGCGGCCAGAGAAGTGAAACACACCCGTTCTCTAACAGTGTTGTTCATCGTGGCAATCCCAGCATCAATAGCATCATCATATTGTTCCAAGCTTCTTTTTACCTCTGACAGCTGCGAAAATAAGACAGGTAACATTAACCCTTTCCACCCTGACATCAGCATGCACATTCTCCATACTGTTCTCTATACATTTTCTACGATGCCAATAAGGGAGAATTTTTTTAACAATCAAGAGCTCCTATATTTGGTTGGTCATCGTTTCCTGATCAACTCTCGTGATCTCACTGTTTGATTCAGCGATTGTGGGTAATGGAGAAATTAGATGTTAGTCGCTCCAAGGAATATTTCTTCTGCGTTTTTGCGTGCTACCAAGGACGCTAATCAGTAAAAGAAATATCCTGATACTTATCTCAGCCCTCTTATTCCTGATCTATATTTTCAAACGCTACCACTATTTAAAACGTCACTTTTCATTTAACACCGTATGCTTTGTAGCTCTGTCAGGACTATGACGAAACAAATGATTATTTTCCACTCATAACATACCTTGTTGGTGAGCGTTGCGTTCAAAGAATCAAGTTGGGTGAACACTGAACCATGATCAGGATTAAACTGCTGTACTGAGTTACTTACCTGACAAAAAAAGTAAAGAAAGAAAATAGATTCTTAGCTGGCCTATAAAGACTCCAATGCTGTACCAGCCAGGTTCCTATGGTTACGGTAATTAAGGCAGGCGAGCTCGGGGTGAAACAGTGAGGTTTTTACATGTGCACAGCAGTAAACAAATAACCAAGGTAATAAAGAAAAAAGTCTTGAATTCTACAAATTTCTGTGACAGAAGGAAGAATCTAAGGATTATTTTTTGTCTGTTATTAAGATAAATTCTTGATTCGGGAATTGTAATTGCAGTTGCCGGTGACTGGAGGATAACAGGAAATCTGTTGCTCTTTTATTCTAAGGTTGTAGAAACTAGGACAGAGTGGCGTTGAGCAACATAAAGGTTTAATATACTCAAGAATGACAACTGATCACAAGTTACTTTAGTATGAAGTGAACTGAGTAAGTAAATTTTGGTTTTAGCGACGGAGTTGACAATGTAATTCAAATTGGTCATCGTTTAAGAGTGACTAAAGCTAACGGACGTTGGCCTTTCCTCCTCGCTTCGACGAAGGGCAAGCGCTCAAAACGCCGACTTTAGAAACTTTTACGGTGGCCAGTTTACATTATCACTCAGCCTGGTTGATAAAACCAAGTTATCTTGAAACACTCCCTATCAACATAGCACCCGAGTTTCTTTAGAAATTTCACCCATTAATAAGCGTCTCCTTGTCAAAAGGTTACTGATTGGGGGAAATATCACACTACGGTCTCTTGACAGTTGAAAAAGCTCGAACATTTTAGTCACCTGTAAATCAGCCGCGGGACAACACAAAATAATGTATGAGTGAAACCTTTGTCAAATTTTTCTGAGCTTAACGTCACGCACCTATCTTTTAATTTTGAACTGCTAAATAAAGCTTACATGATCAACGACCTCGTAGAACCGATCAGAAAATGACTTGATCGCATCTGTTGTGGAGTTAAACTCCGTCTTGGTTGCCATTAGGTTGTCCTTGTTCCGTTTTGAATCCCTCAATAGTGATTCCTATCGATACAGAAAAATTATAAAACAAGCTATAGAGTCAATATGCTATTTCAAAATTGTTGGTGATCAGGGCTCAGTTGTTTGAAGAGCGGATAGCACTACCCAGTGGAAGGCAACCAAGATAAAAATAATGGCCCTTTTTGGCCCCGATTGATTATAAAAAGGCCTCTATAGGGCTTTAAAGCAGGGGAAGAGGAAGGGGGGGACACTATATGACGAGTTATATGGAAGCTGCAGTACTTCTTACAAGATTGAAAAAACATTACTTGTGTAACTAGAAATCACGTAAGGTCCCGTGGGCGAAGAGGTTGCAAGAAAGGGAAGAGATAGCGTGTGTCATAAGCTGAATAACATCAGCCAATCACTCTTTAACGTCAAAGTTTTGAGACGCAGATATTGAAATTTAATTGATGAAATCGAAAGATCTCACTCCTTGCCTATCCGTACTTCCTGGAAGAGCTCGCTTGCAGGCCAATTCACATTATTATTACTACTCGCCGCCAAATGACAAACTGCCCTCTCTAAAACGCTCCGTTTCGTGGGTCAAACGGCAAAGTGCGGGCTCTAAATGGCATTTGCCGCCCTGATATATATTTTATCAAATGAATTTGTACGATTTGGCCTTGTGTATCGATAATAATGATAATCACATGACTTTTGGAGGGCATATAGTTTATTTGTGTCAGTCGTAACATCATTTATTTGCACCCTCGCTCTGCTTGGGCGCAAATGATGCTACTCGGGCCACAAATAAACTGTATCCCCTCCAAAAGTCATGTGATTGTCCTATTTGTCAGACTTTGTCGGTCCGTACTCTAATGGAATTGTTTGCAGAAATGAATGAAAAGCACCAACAAAACTTAATTTTTCAAGGCTAGCGTTTTTAAAAATAGGGGGAAAGCCCTACAGAAATGAAATAAAAAATTTAACAATCCAAAACAAAAAGGAAAATGCAAACAAACAGACAAAATCAAACAAAACAGCCATACATTCAGGGGTTCTTACCGCCTCTGTATGAAGAGATGAAAGGTTATTTTGCAGCTCCTCAATAATGTCATAATATGGAGAAAGGTTCATGGCAAAAGTTGTCGTTTGATCTTGTTGGGATGAGCTTTCCTCTGCTATCTGTTGGCCTGTGCTGGGCAACGTCGTACCTTGATGATTGAAAATGGTTAAATCACTTTTTTATTAGATCAGTGTATATCATATTTGACAAAGCACATTCAGGAATGAGCTGACGTTGACAGGTGTACCTCAATTAGGTGAAGCAGAAAAAAAAAAATACAAAAAACAAAACAAAGCAAAAAAACTGAAAAAAAAAAGGAGAGCTTGTATCATGCCATGCCTGTCAGTGAGCCACTAGAACTAACTGAGCTGTGAAACCAAGTATTAAGATCGTAGTGGTATCCTTAGCGCTATGTACATGGAGGCCCTAACTGTTTCTTCGGCGTAGTTCTGCAAGAATCACTACTTCACCGATCACTTAAGGTTAAAAGATAATTTCTTCATGTAGGTAAGAGCTGCAAAATAGACTATATATAACCTTGCAACTTTGATAGAATCTATGTACCGTTTTGTGGTTTTGGATGATTTTTTTTCTACGGGTTTGCGGTTTCTAAGAGACCCTAAGGCCCTACCCACAAAAACTAATGATCTACAACATTCCGTAGTCATTGACTAGATGGCGTCAGTGAACTGCAAGGCTTCATTTCGTGTTACTGGGGTTGATAGCCTGCAAGCACTTCAAATCAAATCTCGGAATAAGAAATTTGCAAATAATAATCTACTTAAATTCAAATTTGTCTCATTATTGTTGGTCTCATAATACCAAACATCTTATTCTGAAACAAATTATAACATATTTCGCTTCCCTGATAAGCTCACTGAAATAATTGACTTTAAATTACATTCATAAAGTGAAAACATGATACATAGATAATTGTCTGTAGCTAGCGTAACACTGATTTCACGACATTGTTGTCGCAGAGTAATGGCACAGGCAAAGTGAATAAAATATGTCGTAAACGTCTTACGCTGTAACGGCATTGATGCCTGCGTAGTGTTTCAAAACGCAACTACAAAACTTAAGCTGAGAATCGTAGTGCACTGGGATATAACACAAATATTTTCAGGAGTTCTTTAGTCAATTTTTCAATGATTTCCGTATCTGAGGCCTTAACAGATTCTTCATTCTATAATACAAAGTCGCTGGAGTTAGTGTTATCATTTCGAGAGTGATGCATTTACTCACTGGTAAGGAATGAAAACTATTTCCAATGAGCTTTAGACAAATGACTTCTTATACCAAACGAAACGCTTAGATTTCAGCATTAATAATGATATTCTGAGCGAATGCTGGATAAAGATTTACTTTGAAAAGTTTGCATTGATTGTCGTAAGCGCAGATTTTTGGTTACACCCAGTTAGGAAACTAGTTGCATAAGTCAAGTATAAACAATTCCTGCATCTTTGAGTGGAGTTGATTATACTTCCCCGCAGAGATAACCACAGTAGGAAACTTATAGATAGTTGCCAAAAATTAATCAAAAAAACAGTTAGCCCACCTGAATAAGGCACTACAACTCCAACGACCATTAAAATGACTATAGCCAATGCGGAAATAGAGAGAACTAAAACAAGATACTGAACAATGCGATGAATGCATAGCCCATGGCAGCGTGTATTTTTGTTATGATCGCGGTTAGAAGCCGATGTTAAGGATCTATTTTGCATCTTTTTAGCTCTTTTCTGGCCATGTTTCTTTGGTTTAGCATTATAATTTCCTGTTTTAAGGTTCGTAGTCTGTCTTAAGGCAACATACGAGCTGTCAGAGCTGAGGCGAAGCTTTGTGTCCGATGGTGTGTATAACTTTGATTCACGAATGTCTTCAATTGATGCAGAGCGACCAGCCATCACAAGCAAGCGTATCACGAACTTCCCAAGCTGTACTGTTCTCAATGAAATTTGGTGACTGACGCTGGCTCCAAATGCAAGTGCTGCTCGTCGTTAGTTAAGACGTCACGTGGATTTTGGTTACGAGAGGGCCAAGTATCCATCCCTGATGCACGTGGAATAGATATAGGGCTTAGTGAAATAAAATACTTACTTCTGTTATGCACAGTTGGACAAGTAATTAATAAAAAAAACGCGTCAAAACAATTGAAAGATGATTGGCTAACACGATTACAAGCCTTAGGGTGTATAGAATAAATCTATATTTTCTTGAAAAATCCATTTGCGCTCAATGATCTATAGTGCATCGAAAATGAAAATATATTCTTTGTCTGGTTCTTTGCCTTCACCAGCACCGAGGAAGACATTCGGGGTTACCGCACGCTTAGGAAAGATCGAGAAAATGAGATCACCCTACGACGGTGAAAGACCGGCCTTTTTTAACAAAAACAAAATTCATAATTTCACTTGATGGTTTTAAGGTGGTAGTGCGTCGCCCAGATACAAGAATAAGAAAGCTCAGTATAGTAATTTAATACATTTGACTGTCGGGAAGTTGATTAACTTGGGTAATGTAGTTATTTGATAAAGAGCTTGCAAATTCTATGCATCATATGATCACGAATAACTCTGAAGAGTTAAGTTTTGACATAATCATTGAGATCGAACCTGAGAAGTTTATGTGTGTACCCTTCGTATACTGCGCTTAAATCCTTGCTATAAAGTATTTTGTATACTACATTTCTTTGTCTCTTGTTGTTGGTGCTTGTTTCGTGCTTTTCATGCTTCTTTTTGGTTTTTTGTTTATCTTAGTTGCTAACTTTATGAGCTATTATTGGAACACAGACCCTTACGTGTCCACTAGTTTTCTAGCAAATTCCGAATAATCGTTCATGGCTGTGACTTCATCCAGTAATGGTGCTGTAGTTAATGTTTTAAGTAAGTGGGGTCGCTGTTCCCCTGTCCAGCTTATTTCACAGATGAAATAACGATTACAGCCGTACGCTCCACTCTTAGGGAGGCGAGAGGAGAAGTAGAAACACATCACCGACATTACGCGCGAAAAAAAATCTGTCATGACCTGCTAAATTAGCCAATAGATGTATCATGAATGATGAATTATCTCCAACTGAACGAACATTCTGAAACTGACTTCCATTGTACAGTTTAGTTGTATTTTGCGAAGCAACGGATAGCCAGTTCACTGGCAATTCGCTGCACTTACATATTTCGAGTGACTTCATCGTCACTTCTACAATTAAAAGTGTTTTTTAAACGTGGAATGTACCATACAGAGCTATCACTGAATAAATTCTTTGGATTTTAAACAAATGAATAAGTTCTAAACAGAGATACGGTCTTTTCACCGTTCCTCCGATGTATGTGCGACAAAATACGGTCAGTTTGAAGTTGTTCTGTCTCTATCGGAGAAAAGAAATAACTGATCGAAATAAACTTGTTTAATATCATCGGAATTCCGTGGGCATACATGTTTCGATCAATCAGCGGGAGTACCGAAACTTACAAATAAGCGAAACTAAAAAGATTTCCCTTCAGGAAAAGAAAAAAAAAAAAAAAAATAGCAGGCGTAATACACGATCGCTCGAGTGTTGTATAAAAAAAAAAAAAAAGACAGATCACCAAAGATTTGTTTCTTGTTTTTCAAAGTGGTTTTAAATGAATGAATGAATTTGCATTGTTTTTCCATGACCTCTCGCAAAAAAAAAAAAAAACCTGTGTTGTACCAAGCCGAGTTTGAAAAATATGAAAAAAAAAAAAAAAAAAAGCTTACCTGAAGAATTACAAGGGCAGTCAGGGCCAAAAAAAAAAAAAAATAGCAGAAGAGCCAATAATAATGCTATCGCAGAAACAAAAAAAAAAAAAAACATCACGGTCATACGAATAATTTTGTCCTTTCTTTTAAAAAAAAAAAAAAATTGCAAAGTTTGTTGTGAAGTTGCGGCTTTCTCCTGAAAAAAAAAAAAAAACGCGCCAGYTTTGACGCTGTCGTAAACTGGCGCTTTAAAAAAAAAAAAAAAAGTCGCTGCAATGTGTGTGTCCCGTTGTAAGGAGTTAAAAAAAAAAAAAAAGTCGGCTTCGCTATACAAAGAATTGGYGATTGTGTTAAAAAAAAAAAAAAATCTTTGGTTAAGGCTCATGCTACTCGCCGCGAAGCCAAAAAAAAAAAAAAAGTTTTCGTAGGCCATCCTCGAAACAAAATACGAAACAAAAAAAAAAAAAAACCAAGAAGCTCCAAAGTTCGACTAACTCTTCAAAGTAAAAAAAAAAAAAAAACAGCTTGGCAGGTCACAAGACATCAGTCCTTTATTAAAAAAAAAAAAAAATATGACCCAAGCTGTTTATCAGTTTCACGATTCATTAAAAAAAAAAAAAAAGTCTCTTAAAGATATTATGCCGCAATGATAGGACACAAAAAAAAAAAAAAAGTTAAGAAATGCTTACCCGGGTTTAACTCTTGATTTAAAAAAAAAAAAAAAATGTAKAAGYTGAATCAAAACAAGACAGGATGRWCCAAAAAAAAAAAAAAAGGATTTTTGTATTTGCTCTTTTAGCGGACGACAATGAAAAAAAAAAAAAAACATACGCAATCAACTTGACCTTTTCATGTCCCAGGGAAAAAAAAAAAAAAAAAATTCATACTTACTACTGTTTTCATCGGCTTAGTGAAAAAAAAAAAAAAAAGGAAAGTGTTTGCAATCGCTATTTTACCCAGACTGAAGTTAATTGAAAGCATATTGCAATGAGTAGGAAATTTAAGATCTGCAGAAAAAAAAAAAAAAAAAATTTTTCGTCTAGCTGTATAAAACTCATATTCACACAAAAAAAAAAAAAAAGAAAAGTCGGTCTAACGTTTTTTAAAACGAGGAAAAAAAAAAAAAAAAAAACAGCGGAACACACTCGAATAGCGGAACAAGGCGAAACACTTTAGTAACATACCAGAAGGCCGGAACATACCGCAACAACTAAACAAATGAAATGCTCGAAAAATAACAATGTTGAACAATTAAGAAAGATACAAGTAAAGAAACCAGAGAAGAAATTAGGAATACAGCCACCANGACGACAATGAAAGTTTATTCCACACATACGCAATCAACTTGACCTTTTCATGTCCCAGGGGTTTTCTCGTCACTCAAATTCATACTTACTACTGTTTTCATCGGCTTAGTGTTCTTGTGTTTCTAAAGGAAAGTGTTTGCAATCGCTATTTTACCCAGACTGAAGTTAATTGAAAGCATATTGCAATGAGTAGGAAATTTAAGATCTGCAGAATTCAGGAATGGTAGCATTTTTCGTCTAGCTGTATAAAACTCATATTCACACTTGACTCCTACTTCTGAAAAGTCGGTCTAACGTTTTTTAAAACGAGGAAAACCGCAACACGCCGAACAGCGGAACACACTCGAATAGCGGAACAAGGCGAAACACTTTAGTAACATACCAGAAGGCCGGAACATACCGCAACAACTAAACAAATGAAATGCTCGAAAAATAACAATGTTGAACAATTAAGAAAGATACAAGTAAAGAAACCAGAGAAGAAATTAGGAATACAGCCACCATTTTGTTTTCGGGAGTTTGTTCCGAACAGAACATTTGGTTGCTATGGAAGCGTGACGTAAGCACTTTAGTACTCTAAAGAGGTTCTTCAAGCCATGTCGTATTTCCTTATATGGGCGTTAGATAAGAAACACGCGACCAATGTACAAAATTCCATTCCCTTCCGCTCCTAACATGGTCAAACATCGTGAACACGTTAAGCAACCTGGTTATGTAACCTGCTCTTCACTACAAAGACCTATAAAAAATTCGTTTCGATAGCTCATAAGATTAAAAATTAGCCATGAGCAAAATCAGCTTTCTTCGCTTATAGGAAATAAGAAATCTTTGAACAATCAAATCGCAAAAGAAGCCTCTTGCGATTGTCGGCTGACTTCCGATAGCTGAACGAGAGTCTATCGATTACTACTGATCGACAGTTTCACATTTGGCCAACCGAGGGTCTACAAAAAGGCAACCGATAGTCAACCGACCGTCTAGCGAAAAGCACACCAAAGCAACAGCTTGCGAAAGGTAATTAACATTTGAGCCGAAATTCTATCAGCAGCCGGCAAGAAGGTTAAACAAAACAAAGTAACAATAAGTAAAACCACCAATATTCTTTTCCTCTCTACCAACAAAACATGTCAAGCATGGTTCATGAGCCGGTGGACATAGAAAAATAATTATATGGTCCTCTAGGGATGATTCCAACTCCCAAAGAAAGGGCCTGTTTCTTGCCCAGCAGTTGACGACCCGAAAAGCTACTTTTCTTTGGCATGATTATTTTAACCATAAGGATATCAACAGTCTTGAAAGTCAAACAATAAAAATATCAGGAAAATATACAAAAATGAAAGGTTTTTCAGCTACAACCCGCTGAACATCAGAATTAAATGCACTCAGTCGGCTTCAAAAAGTTACTAAAGCTTTCTAGAAACACGTCCCGCTTCGGTTTCCGCATTTGGAAACTTATACAGTATTTTTATTACTTTTCTTCTTATTACCAATTCTATTACGTTAGTTTTTCTATCTCGTTTTCCTTTACTTCTTCTCCTGCTATATTCACTGTTTCGGATTGGGTCTCTTTTTGTTGCAGTTCTCTTTTCCTTGTCTCATACACATCCATCGTAAAGGAATCAGGTATCAAATTGGTCTCCTTCAACTCTCGCCAAACATTGTCCAACAACTCTGAACTCGGCGCGTTTCGAAGACGACGGCCAAACGTAATCATATCCATGCGTTCCTTTGACAGCATCTTACAGCCATCAGTTAAACAAAGATCAGTCGCTTCCTCAGCAACAAAATCAGGAAAAAATATCAAACCTGAGTACTGAGCTAAAACTTCTAAAGAAACTTGAAACTCGTGCAACTTTTTCTCAAAGTTCACCGGTTCGTTAGGAATGACGAAAGCTCCTAAAACTGAATGCTTGCTTTTGTCTTCGGCCAAAATAACCTTATATAAGTGGGTTGGCACTGCAACGTTGTTAGCTCCAATAACCTAGGGATAAACAAGCAAATACATTAAAAGACTACATTGAAACCTGAAATGTAATCCACGATTTTGTGGTAGGTATCATTGTGCAGTCCCGCAAGGCTAACCTCGTTCTCGAGGTAAGAGCCTAGGAGTGAGGTTGCAATTAAGCCCCATCCTACTGGAAAGCTCTGGAGCATTCCCCACATTCACATAAAAGTTAACTCAGGCCATAGAAATCTAACCCAATAGTTTCAACAACAACAACAACAACAACAACAACAACAACACAACACAAC